TTTTTTTTTTTTTTTTACTGAATAAATCTAAATGACTGGAGGTGTGCGTTCGGGCGAGAGGAAGTGCTAGAGTGACGAAAATAAATGTTCTAGTCTTTTATTTCTGTTCCTGGCTTATGAAATAGGCTTGCCGTGTAATTATTTTAATTAAAAGAGTATGTCGTCCCTTTCCCTTACCTTCGCAGGAGAACATCTGGTACAGTGAGATATCAATATCGTAAGTGAGAGATAGCTCGCCCATGACTCATCAGTCACCTACGCCCCACTGCTTCTTTGCTTCTTTTCTTTGCGTGAATTGAGAAGAAAGCAAACTATTCACTAAACATCCGCTCTCTAAATATACAGAATGTCAAATTCGTACACAAATGACATCGTCGATCTAGAACGACAAAAAATTGAGGATCGATACCTATTGACTGGGATTAGTAAAATTGAAAATGATTTAAACATACATTTTAACTTGGACCAGAATAAAATAGAAATACATTTTAAGAAAACATGCTTAGAAATTTCAATATGCCTGGTTCTTAAAGTACATTTACTGAAAATAGGGAAAATAAATATTCGCCAGGGTTGTTAATTTTTCATTATTGTTGCATATATACCAAAAGCATTTTCAAATGTTCATTAGAATAAAGCAGGCAACGTCCTAAACATCCGATGTCTAGTCATTACAAAAACAAAATGTATCTAACACGAATACTCTTTCTTTTAAATCGCAGGTAGAACTCCAGTAGTTCGACTTCAGGTTCTTTAGGGAGTCTGGGAGCCGAATTTTGGAATTGTAAATAATTTTAAATATAGAATGTATATAACATTTCGTTAATAAATTACATTTTGTAAAATGGTCATTATTGTTCGTTTATTTCAATACCCAATCAATACTCCACCCTTTTCCTGGCTTATAGCATCCGATGTTTACTCCGACATGGCGGCCGAGTCCCGCGAGGCGCAGGTTGCCGGATTGGAGTCTCCGGCTGTCGGCAACCGACTGAGGTCGGCGTCTCGGCCGGGCACCGGCGACCGGGAGCCAGCAACAGGCTGCCCCGACGGCCATTCTCGCTTCAGCTGCGGGCCAGTGCAGTCGCTGTGCTAACTGCAGCTAGAATCCTTAAATGTGAAAGTGCAACTCAACATCACGCCGAACGTTATGTTATGAACGAACTTTATGTTCGGAATAGTGTTCAGTGGTCATAATTATTCACTACTAGTGCTTCAGAAGTTGAATGAACAACAATGATTTATCCAGCACATGGCGAATGGTCAGTGCAGCCCTAAATTCGTTATATCATTCGGAAGAGTCATCTAATGTGGTTCCCGAACGTGAATATCAAGGACAGCATGGAATTCACCGAAATACCGCCTCAACGTCAACACATTGCAAGCAACATCTAATTCGGGGCCGGATCATGAGGTCAGCCTGAGGAACGAATGCATTCAAAACAGTCAGATGTTTCAGCCCAACCGCATCATAACAAGGTAATGTCGCAAGGAAAGCGAGCCAGCGATAACGACGGTGATAACAGAGACCTTAAACGTGTAACCACAGACAGTCAGCCTCCGGCAGGGCCTAACCTACAAAGTCAATACAATGTAGAAATCAAAAATAGAATTAGTTGGCTAAACGAAGAGATCTCAGATGATCTAAGTCACGAAAATAAAATCCCACCAATTTTTGTTACTAATTTTGAAAATCAAGTTTCTCTCGCGAATGAAATAAAATTTAACGTCTCATACAACTTCAGTACAGAATTCAAAAATCAAAAGATTCGAATCCAATTCCAATCAGTGACCGACTTCCGAAAAGCAGTTAAATATTTCCTGGACACCAAAAAACAATTTCACACGTATTCGGATAAAATTAGTAAAAATATACTAAACAAGAATATTCATCCTTCAATTTCAGGAAATGAAATATTAGCTTAAATCAATAACAAATTAAATTCTGCTACTAAAGTTACTCGACTATATAAAAACAATTCCCCCATCCCAGAAGTGGCAGTAGACTGATGGAACTCACAAAATCGAGAATGTATTAGAAATAAAACAAATAGGCAATAACATTGTGAAATCAGAAAGAAGAAAGAAAACCAAGGGTCCCCTACAATGTTACCGGTGTTTAGACTTTGGACACAGTAAAAATAATTGCAATCATACAATTCCATGTGTGTTTTGTGCGGGGGGTCACCTATCAGCAAACTGTGAACAAAAGAACCCCACTCCTACATGTAAACATTGTCTCAGGTAGCATAGGGCTGACCTCAGATCAGTAGAATGTCCATATTATTGAAAAATTTTAGGAAGTAAAAGAAATAATTCAAACGACAGACTTAGGAACAATCCTTATTCCTCAGCAGTTCAATACAACAAACTTTCCAATACTACCTCCAACCAACAACTTACCTAATTTCTCACATGCAACAAATATCAACCACCAACAAAACACAACAAACACAAATCACCAACAACATAACAAACAGACAAACAGAAACTACAACAATTTCAATATTGGTAACTCATTCATACAAAACAACACTCAGTTTATAACCAATCACATAATTAATTTTATAAATGCTTTAATACCAACAATTATACAGAATATTCAACAATCAATTGCTATGTCATTTAGCAACAATTATGGATCACTATGATAATATAATTATATTAAATTGGAATGCAAATGGCACTATCAACAAAAAAGCCGAATTACATCACTTCCTACATGCTAACAGAATTGATATAGCATGCATCACAGAAACACATCTCAACCAAGAATTCTCATTTTTTATTCAGGGATACACAACAATCAAAGCAGATAGACAAAACTCGAAAGGTGGAGGAGTATTAATACTAATAAAATGCAATATACCACATCACCAGATTACTCTATCTCACACGCCCGGACTCAAAACAGCAGCAATAAATGTAAAGTATAATAATAACACGACAATAGCAATAGTAACTGCTTACAAACCTCTAAATATAAAAATAAATAATAGCAACTTCTCCACATTATTACAACTACCAAATCTATTCATTATTGCAGGTGATCTAAACTCTAAACACTTTTCATGGGGATGTCGGCTACAAATCCCGCTGGTAAATACTTAAACGACATAAAAAGGAACCTGAATGGCAACATACTATCACCAACCGAATCCACTTTCTTCCCATATGATCCAAATAAAAGTCCAGACATACTTGACATAACAGTAACAAATATTAAATCTCATTTCATTTCAAACACGTACCATAAACTAGAATCAGACCACTTACCAGTAATAATATCAACTCGCGTAGAAAAGCCTCCCTCAACTCCCATCCACTTTAAATACTTATAACATTAATTACATTACTTCAGCCTTAGCGACCCGGCTATCCAGGCTAGCACTAATTCCCTTGGCAGTTCACTCGCCCGGAAAAATGCAACAATCAATAGTCCTGTGCGTTCACCTGTCTTACTTCGTTAGAAGATAAAGTATTGTAGTCGTGCACCTGGCGCGTCACATCAAGCATTGCCTCGGTGACCGAGTGGTTACTGATGGCCTCTGTGCGCAGATTCCATCCTGGCTGAGGCGCGTGGGTTTTCGAAGGGCAGGAAATCGCAGAGGCCTTATGAAGCTTGTGTATGAAAACGAACCCTCGCCAGTGCCCGCTAAAATTGAAACCCTCCGGCAATCTTACGTTCCACCAACAAGAAGGCTCTGAGTTTTTAAAAGTTCTCTTCCTATTTACTTTCCTTGTAGATGACTCGTTTCTTTGGCGTTGAGTGTCCATTCAACACACTCAGTGGAGTGTGCAATTGTTTATTTGAAATGAAATTTGCATTAAAACAGGTTTTCTTTCATTTATCATCATTTTGGTATTGCGAAACGTAATTTGAAACTTTTTTATTTGTTTGATTTCGTCAGAAGACAGTAAAATGTATGTAACGTATGGTAAATATGTATTTTTGCACAGGTTTTCTTGAACTATAGAATTTGGTAACTCACTACGCATTGTTTCTTATTTGCAAAAATATTCGATTCATCTACTTCTCCCTCTCTAATGGACGAAGGCTTATCATTTGCGTTTAGAATGTAGGTTAGAACAAGGAAAAAATGAAACCTGCGGAACTCCATGTTCAATGGGCAATGGATCGGCAAGGCAATTTAAAAATTTCATTTCTTTTTAGTATGTTATTTCTACTCTCTGAGATTGTTGTTTAAGATACGAAGTAATCCAAATTAGAAGAATGTCCAAAATTCCTTTGGTATATAATTTTGAAAGCGAAATGTTATAATCAATAATGTCAAAGATAGAGAAAGATCTACAAAATGCCAATAAGAACGTTTGCATTCATTGACGAACTGACATATTTAAGACACGTTTCTGTAGAGTTTAATTCTCTGAACCCACGTTGGCAATTTGGAAACTCTTCGTATGTGGTTAACACTAAGATTTAATATTTCCATCTCGCAAGGTCGACTGTACTATAATTATTCCTATTTCCTGGTGATTGTCCTCAGGCAACTCAGATTGTTGACTTCCTAAAAACTCGATTTTAATTGTTCACGTTGCAGCCGTGCAGCCTTGCTTTGTTTCCCCATATCCGCTGTGCCGCTTGTGCGCCGTGGCCGCCACCGGCGCGGCGAGCGCGCTCCCTAGTTTACGTCCTCCCAGAAGCGCCGCCGCCGCGCCGACAATCAGGAGCCCATAAATTGCGGCGGCCGCAACGCACACCGCGGAGGGGAGGAGGAGGTAGCTGATCCCCGTGGGATGCAGCGCAGCAGCGCAGCCCGCGACACCTCGCCCATCGGCGGGC